CCTATTATATTTATCTTACAATTTGCCAGGGGGTGAAGTTATTAAGTTTTAGCAGCAGCCATCGATCAAGTTCACAAGTTAACACGATAAAGGCTCTGTGCCGCTCCGATCCGGGAAAATGATGATCCTCACTCGGTAATTAACTAAATGAGAAAGTTAAATCTTACTTGAGAGCTGGGAGAGATGAAAGAGAGGTGTTTGTCAGTTTCTCAGTGGAAATTAGAAGCAGTTTTCTGCAATTCCCTGAGCTGCTGCTCTGTCATATTTTACATAAGCACTGGGAAAACGTCTTGTAATTAGTGCTGTCATGGAGGATTTTTTTTGCTGAAGGATGTTGGAATAATTCATTAGATTATCAAGAAAGGCTTGTGTCCTGAAATGATTAGCACAGTGAAATTTAAACCATTAACGATAACAAGTTTAGAGCTTGCTGCAGTGCAGAGGCACTCAGGGTATGTCTGTGCCTATTTCAATCATTTCTTATAATTAAACATTATGTCCTCTTTTTTCCTCCCCTTCACTAAGACCCATCCAAAATTCCTGTTAAGGTGGCTCTGTCTGGATCAGTGACTTAACCACGCCTGGTGGTACCAGCAGTTGGAGGTGAAATGCTGCAGTTGCAGATAAGCAGTAGAAGACCTCTCTCTGTCAGAGCCTGTGGTCCCAGTGAGTAGCCCAGTATGACCTGTAGGTACTGGTACGTCGAAGGGAAGTCACTTCCTTTTGCCTAAAGAGTAACTCTGATAAATTTGCAGTGGTGGTCTAAGCTCTCAGTCTTTTCAGAGCTCCAACATGAAGATGTGTTGAAGATCCAGAAGGTCCCAAACCTTGCTGGGATCATTTAAGCCATTCTAGATATGCTAGGAGACAGCTTCTCTTTTTCTTTGACTCTAAGACATGTCTTCTTACTTTGAGAAACATATAGTCTGAATTCATCTGCCCTGTGGAAAGTGCTTTAACAAAGTCTTCTGCAATGATTAGAGGACATGGTGATTTTTTAAAAACGTATAGAAGTTGTGACCACTCATATGGCTGGGAGACAGTATACCTATACTAGAATCAGAGAACTGTGCTTGTGTTTGGTTTTTTTTCTGTGCTTTAGGAGGCTTCTTGGTCTCCTGTACTAAAGAAAAACAAAAGTAACCTTGGTTGTCATATATGGGTTACAGCAGTAATATAGCATGGCTGTTTTGTTTTATATGCAGAGCAGGAGATTTACCCAGGCTTTGTTTATCTGTGTTGAAATATTGCAGCTTCCTATAGTTGCAAGCCATTATTTAGATTAAAGTCCTTTCATATATTAGTCCTCTTCTACTTCACTGGGCATACAAATGTGCTTTGTGTTAAATGTAGCCATTTGGAGAAATGGTCTTGTAATTATGGGCTGCAATGGAGCATAGTACGTAGATCTCTGAGCTAGTACCAACCTGAGGCACTCAATCCCCTGGGTTTCCTGGCACAGCTTACAAGCTGAGGCACACAGTTGTAGGACACCTCTGCTGTTCCTGCAGATGAGTTCCTGTGCCTAGAGCCAGCTGGGGCACCTCTCAGCCCTCGCTTACAGTGGTTTGAAAAGGGAGTCAGAAGAGCTTTATCTGTTCTGAGTTCATAGTTTGCTCTGTTATACTCCAGCTTCATCCCAGGTGATGGACTACCAGTGCTTATTCTTCTTTGCCACTTTGGAAGTGAAGCTTATAAAAAGCACGACAGTATGCAGTGCATTTGGATGGATATTTACCCTGGCAGTATGAATGGTGTGTGGAACCTTTCTTTTTAAGGTGAGGCCTGGTTATTGGAGCAGGAGAGGGAAGAGGCTGTAGATGATGATGGTGTGCTCCAGGAAGTAGTTGCTGATATGCTGAGATGGTTTGTCATGAACTTGAGGCAATGGATCGGCATGGCTGAGTCATCAGGGTTTCTCAGGAAGCCACATTGATTCTCTTACTGATAGTAACCACCCTCCCCTCCCAACAATTTAATAATACGAATGCTTGATGTTGTTGTTTTGTTGCTGTCTTTTTTTAATAACAGGCCTTTTTCACTGAACCCCCAGTGGATTTTTAGGAAACTTCAAATTGAAATTCAGGAATTTTATTCTAAACTGTAGCTACAGATGACCTGGGAGAGGCATGTGAGCATGTATTGTGATTGAGTGATTTGGGAACCCTGTGAATCCGCCTGTCTCTACTCTGCAAAACTGATGTGTTTATGGCCTGCCCTGTCCTCCTGGTCCCCTGCTTGCATAGACTACAGGACCTCCTGGGCACACCATGGCTGCCTCTGGGCTTGTCCTTGCTCCTTTTGAGGGAAAACCAGAGCAGGCAAAGGTACAAACCAGGTCTCAAGTTGGCATTGTCTGAATGCAGCCAAAGTACGCGCATGAACTTAAAAAATACAGTGTTCCCCTGTCCAGTAATTTGGACATAAACACTGTAACATGTATAGTGCTTTTCTTAGCAGAACCACTATATACACTTGGAGTTGGACTTCCAGAGCTGTCACAAGTATTGGTCAATGGACTCTGTATTTTACTTGTTATTCCCACCCAAGAGGTCTGTATTCACTTGGGATCCAGGCAGAATGGGTTGTTTTGTCCCATCTAAGCCATCTGTTTGTACACACATAAGCTGTTACAGGGGCTCTGAGCAACCTGATCTCGTTGAAGATGTCCCTGCTCATTGCAGGGGAGTTGGGCTAGATGACCTTTAAACGTCCCTTCCAAACCAAACTATTCTATGATTACTTCTATTTGCAGATGTTGCAGCTTCTGTTTGAAACCCCAAGCCGATGTTTTAGAAGTAATTTGGGAGCTGAAGGCTGCTAGGAGAAGGGTGCTCAGTAGGCAAGGAAGGGCTGCAGTGTGGTGGCACCCCGTGGAAGGAGTTGGCCCTTTTCTGGTCTTTGCACATCAGCTGTCTACTCTGCTCCAGCTCAGCATATTCGTCAGACTTCACAGTCTCTCAAATTATAAGGCAGAGGTATAGGTTTTTAAAAAATGGTTTGTAGAGACAGCCTGTTGTGAGATTGGCTGCGCAGCAAACAAAATGAGAAATGAAATGAGATTGAGTTTGTAGAATACAACATCTCTCTCTGCTGTCTTAATCCAGCATTTTTACAGGGGTGTCTGTTTTGCAGGCAGCTTAACTGCAGCAAAAATGACCAGAATCCATTAAGACTGGTGTTCAGTGCAGTCCATTGGTAATTACTGTTTGCTGGGCTGTTGCCTACTGTGGACTTTGCTAGAATAACTCCAGCCTTTCACACCTAGGACTTCATGCGCACAGTCCCTTTAGAGATTTCTCTCTATGTAAAAAATTGGCCCATGAGAGAATATTTCTTTTCTTCCAGCCAGTAGCTGAGTCTACTACTCACCTGCGGTTAGTGCTGTCCATGTGATGACCAAAGGAAATAGTCTAGCTCAGTCGTAGCCTTTGTCTTACATGATCTGACTGGACACGCACAGAGATTCTCAGGGAGGAGTGGGGATAAAAAAGTAAGGTTGAAAACAGTGAACTGCAGAGTTGAGCGCTGAGGATGTGATTGCATGTTCTGTATTCTCAAAGAAACTTAAGTCAAATTATAATTCAGAAATAGAGGAAACTGCTTGTTAAAAATGACAGCTAATTACTATCGTCTTCTACATTCTGTCCAGCTCTGCTCGAAATGATGAAAAGAGTATTGAGGTAGATTTTGTCTAGAAAAGGAAATGTAAATGGTGATTAGTTGAGTAGATTTTCAAATTATTAGGTTTTTGGTGTTTCAAAGTCCAGATTGCAGTCGAGGTTGGGGAGGCTGTTGAAATACAGGAATTATTTACTCCTGAGAAATGAGGAATTCCTGCACTCTAAACCCAGTTTTGGTAACTAGATTTTGTGGTGTCTAAATAACCCACTGTTTTGGCACTTGCTGAAAAAAGGCTTCCCCCCCCCCC